TTCCTTTCCTGAGGATGGCTCACCCTTCACAGTTTTGGGGGATTTCAACCTCCCTACGTCTACATTTGACTCATTTCTCTCTGCCTCCTTCTTTCCACTCCTCTCCTCTTTTGACCTCACCCTCTCACCGTCCCCCCCTACTCACAAGGCAGGCAATACGCTTGACTTCATCTTTACTAGATGTTGCTCTTCTACTAATCTCACTGCAACTCCCCTCCATGTCTCCGACCACTACTTTGTATCCTTTTCTCTCTCGCTCTCCTCCAACACTACTCACTCTTCCCCTACACAGATGGTAACGCGCCGCCGCAACCTTCGCTCTCTCTCTCCCACTACTCTCTCCTCTTCCATCCTATCATCTCTTCCCTCTGCTCAATCCTTCTCCCTCCAATCTCCTGATTCTGCCTCCTCAACCCTCCTCTCCTCCCTTTCTGCATCCTTTGACTCTCTGTGTCCCCTATCCTCCCGGCCGGCTCGGTCCTCCCCTCCAGCTCCGTGGCTTGATGACTCATTGCGAGCTCACAGAACAGAGCTCCGGGCAGCGGAGCGGAAATGGAAGAAAACTAAACTCCCTGCCGACCTGGCATCTTTTCACTCCCTCCTCTCTACATTTTCTTCATCTGTTTCTGCTGCTAAGGCCACTTTCTACCACTCTAAATTCCAAGCATCTGCCTCTAACCCTAGGAAGCTCTTTGCCACATTCTCCTCCTGCTGAATCCACTTTGAAAAGAAGGTTGACGACATCCGATCCTCGTTTGTTAAGTCTAATGACACTGCTGGTCCTGCTCACACTGCCCTACCCTATGCTTTGACTTCTTTCTCCCCTCTCTCTCCAGATAAAATCTTGCGACTAGTGACTGCTGGCCGCCCAACAACCTGCCCGCTTGACCCCATCCCCTCCTCTCTTCTCCAGACCATCTCCGGTGACCTTCTCCCCTACCTCACCTCGCTGATCAACTCATCCTTGACCGCTGGCCATGTCCCTGGATTGCGTCCTACCTGACCGGTCGCTCCTACCAAGTGGCGTGGCGAGAAGCTGTCTCCGCACCACGTGCTCTCACCACTGGTGTCCCCCAGGGCTCAGTTCTAGGCCCTCTCCTTTTCTCCCTATACACCAAGTCACTTGGCTCTGTCATATCCTCACATGGCCTCTCCTATCATTGCTACGCTGACGATACACAACTAATCTTCTCCTTTCCCCCTTCTGATAACCAGGTGGCGAATCGCATCTCTGCATGTCTGGCCGACATATCAGTATGGATGACGGATCACCACCTCAAGCTGAACCCTGGCAAGACGGAGCTGCTCTTCCTCCCGGGGAAGGACTGCCCGTTCCATGATCTCGCCATCACGGTTGACAACTCCGTTGTGTCCTCCTCCCAGAGTGCGAAGAGCCTTGGCGTGACCCTGGACAACACCCTGTCGTTCTCCGCTAACATCAAGGCGGTGACCCGATCCTGCAGGTTCATGCTCTACAACATTCGGAGAGTACGACCCTGCCTTACACAGGAAGCGGCACAGGTCCTAATCCAGGCACTTGTCATCTCCCGTCTGGATTACTGCAACTCGCTGTTGGCTGGGCTCCCTGCCTGTGCCATTAAAACCCTACAACTCATCCAGAATGCCGCAGCCCGTCTGGTGTTCAACCTTCCCAAGTTCTCTCACGTCACCCCCCTCCTCCGCACACTCCACTGGCTTCCAGTTGAAGCTCGCATCCGTTACAAGACCATGGTGCTTGCCTATGGAGCAGTGAGGGGAACGGCACCTCCGTACCTTCAGGCTCTGATCAGTCCCTACACCCAAACGAGGGCATTGCGTTCATCCACCTCTGGCCTGCTGGCTCCCCTTCCTCTGCGGAAGCATAGTTCCCGCTCAGCCCAGTCAAAACTGTTCGCTGCTCTGGCACCCCAATGGTGGAACAAGCTCCCTCACGACGCCAGGACAGCGGAGTCACTCACCACCTTCCGGAGACATTTGAAACCCCACCTCTTTAAGGAATACCTGGGATAGGATGAAGTAATCCTTTTTTTAAATTTATTTTTATTAGATATGAATTACATACATCTTTATGTGCACTAACTAATATCATAGGATAATTTAATTTGGGGTTCAACACCTGAGGAAGTGGAAACTGAAAACACATTACTTAGATCACTAACTGTAGCCATGAAATGCATTGAAAGGCTGGTCATGACTCACATCAACACCATCATCCCAGAAACCCTGGAACCACTCCAATTTGCATACCGCCCCAACAGATCCACAGATGACACAATCTCTATTGCACTCCACACTGCCCTTTCCCACCTGGATAAAAGGAACACCTATGTGAGAATTTTGTTAATTGACTACAGCTCAGTGTTTAACACCATGGTGCCCTCCAAGCTATTCAATATGCTAAGGTTCTTGGGACTAAACACTTCCCTTTATTCAATTTTTTTACACTGACTCTTTATTGCACATGCTCGATGTACACTCACTGGACTCCACACACTCACAACACTCCAACACACACACAAAAAACACATGCATATTGACGCCACAGACACACACACACACATTCACATTCCTTCACTCTCCTCACATACGCTGCTGCTACTCTTTTTTTATTATCTATGCGTAGTCACTTTACCACTACTTACATGTACATATTACCTCAATTACCTCGACTAACCTGTAACCCTGCACGTTGACTTGGTACTGGTACCCCTTGTATATAGCCTTGTTATTGTTATTTTATTGTGTTACTATTTTTCCTTTAGTTCATTCGAATCCAGGCTCTGTCGTAGCCGGCCGCGACCGGGAGACCCATGGGGCGGCGCACAATTGGCCCAGCGTCGTCCAGGGTATGGGAGGGAATGGCCAACAGGGATGTAGCTCAGTTGGTAGAGCATGGCGTTTGCAACGCCAGGGTTGTGGGTTCGATTCCCACGGGGTGCCAGTATGAAACATTAAAAAAATAATAATGTATGCACTCACTAACTGTAAGTTGCTCTGGATAAGAGCGTCTGCTAAATGACTAAAACTGTTTGTTTTTTAAAAGTAAAATCTAGCACATTTTTCTTACATTGTTGGTTAAGGGCTCCTTAGTCAGGGTCAGGTTTACACCTGTTATATTCAGCGCATGTGACAAATATAATTGATTTGATTTAACTCTAAATATAATACCCACTGCCGCCCATGGGTCTCCCGAGTGGCGCAGTGGTCTAAGGCACTGCATCGCAGTGCTAGCTGTGCCACTAGAGATCCTGGTTCGAGTCCAGGCTCTGTCGCTGCCTGCCGTGACCGGGAGACCCATGGGGCGGTGCAAAATTGGCCCAGGTTAGGAGGGTTTGGCCAGCAGGGGTGTTCTTGTCCCATTGCGCACTAGCGGCTCCTGTCGTCAGGTGTACGGTGTTTCCCCTGGCTGGTTAAGCGGGCATTGGGTCAAGAAGTAGTGTGGCTCGGCTGGGTTGTGTTTCGGAGGACGCACGGCTCTTGACCTTCACCTCTCCCGAGTCCATACGGGAGTTGCAGCGATGGGACAAGACTGTAACTACCAATTGGATACCACGAAATTGGGGTTGTAAAATAGTTGCTGAATGTTGAAAAATTCAAATGATACCTTCAGAAAGCTGAGGCCCTCCTCTCTTCGATAGGGATGAGGGGACAAAGCATCCAAAGCTGTGATTTTCCCACAATTGCATTTTGAAATGGCTCGTTCGTCACAGCAGGCCCCAGCGAAACAGGCGCAGCGACATGGTAAACATTTTCATTACAGGAATCATGAGGATAATGCACTTTACTGTTTGACGAAATCATGGTTTTAGCCGGCCACAAAATAGGACATTTTGTGAGGTGACAATGTGCTCTTTCTACGTTTATGTACATTTATATCCTTTCCGTTTTTTTACGATCCATGATCTTGGCTGTCTAACTGAGGACAGAGTCTGAGCAGGTCTCTTTACTGATGCTGCATTTGACTTTGAATGTGAGTTTGCGTGACCTCAGCTCAGCCTATGTGAAAACCGGGCCAACCCATAGGGGGGTGGCCGGCTATTTCCCACTTATGAGCCAAAGGCTCATTATATATTAGTATAACTGATAAATTGCGCAAAAATATTTATAAAAAATCTTAACAGGCCCATGTCACCTTTTTCATGGTTTTATTTGGATATACTGTATATATATATATATATATTTTTTAAATTGTGTGTGTCAATTTCGAGCAGCCCACCCAACAAAAAAATGGTCCAGCCCATCTGGTTTTTGCCAGAATTGCCAGATGGCCAATCCGCCCGTGTGTGTGTGTGTGTGTGTGGGTGGGTGTGTGTGGGTGTGTGTGTGTGTGTGTGTGTGGGTGTGTGTGGGTGTGTGTGGGTGTGTGTGTGTGTGTGGGTGTGTGTGGGTGTGTGTGGGTGTGTGGGTGTGTGTGTGTGTGGGTGTGTGTGGATGTGTGTCAGTAAGTTGGTGTAGGAAATAGGGGCTAATCAGTCTTGTTTAATCATCTAGAACGGAGTAGGGCCACTTCAACTAACTGATGCAATATCTCAATGTGACTGCCTCCCAAATGCCACCCTATTCCCTATGTAGTGCACTATTTTTGACCATGGCAAATAGGGGTCTGATCAAAAGCAGTGCACTATATGGAATAGGGTCTCATTTGGGACTAAGACCTTGTTTTGTCAGAATGTAAGACAATCATAAGCCCGCAATAAATCTAGTTTTGATGATAGAAAAAAAACAACTTTTAAATATATGAATTGGTTGGTATGGTGATAGAGCAAATCAGAACACTGGAATTACATAGTTGATGTGTTTAGTTTTATGTCCCTAAAAACAGTGCTTTTAATGAGCGATTTTACAGCAGTGTGGGAATAAAAAATGTCATACCCAAGGAAAAAGAGACCAATTTGTTTATTTTCCACTCCAACCACCCTTGTTGAAATGTAATTTACAGCAACGCACTGGCTAAGCAATTTCCAAGGAACTTTTTCCCTGACTACCACTGTGGGGTAGCAGCCTAGCTAGCCTGCTGCATAGTTCAGGAAAGCAAACAATTCCAAATGGTTGAGCGGGGCCCTAGCTGCAGTGACGAAGCGACGCTCAAAGGGCGGTGTTCTCACGTAAAGAAAATATTGAGTGTTGCTGTGGTACATCTGGAATAGTGCTTCTAGTATCTACAGCGGGATCTCTGCAATAGTTGTGACCACTTCAACTCATGAGTACTCATTTTTAAAGGGAAATTTACCACACCCTTTGCTTTCTGTAAGTTGAGATAATATGGAATCTTAATTTACCTTTAGTTTCTTTCAAAGGATGGATATCCGATATTTTTTTTGATTTACCTTCTCCTCCTCCCACTAACGGGATTTATCAACTTTATTCTTGGAGTGTAATCAAGTTGGATTTATCTATTTTCATCTGATTGGACTAAGGCTGCGTTTCATCAATTATTCGAAATTATTTTTGATATAATATAATTGAATAGTTTTGTAGGGAGTTTGAATGATTAATCGTTGCATTTTCTCACTGCGCTTCTAGTAAATAACGGTCCACAGGCATATGGAGCTGTTTTGATCATGCGTTGATTTGCATTTCGTTTTATATCTCAACTAGGCTACTCATGTGCCGTTTCAAAACCTCTATGTAAACTTTCTAAGTAGCGTGCAACTGTTGTTGATTATAGATATTATTTTTCCAACGATTTGTTTTTTGCTGCATGAATAAAATCGATGTAAATGTTTAATTGGTTGCAAATTGGTTGCACATCTTTTACATTTCTCTCAAAACACTACAGTCTGCAGATAAATTGATATCTTTTGAGGAGTTGAGACAGTCCTCCTACTCCATGCTTTTATCCACTCCAATGTTACGGAATACCTACTTTTCAACTTGAAGTGAACATATGGGTTTGATGTGTAAATGTGTAAATGGCGCCACCTGGTGTCAAGATGAAGTACCACTTGAACAAGTTGACGCTGTATCAGTACCATCGACGCCTGGTCTGATAACTGTTGTTCCTGTTTGTTTGTCTCCACGTGTAGATATATCTGAACATGCTGCTCATCCTGCTCGGAGTGCTCATCTTGCACCTCATCATCCTGGTCCTACTGTTTGTGTCAACAATTGCCAATGTGAGTAGCTATGATATTGTTGCCAATACCCTACTATAATACAATGTGAGTAGCTATGATATTGTTGCCAATACCTTACTATAATACAATGTGAGTAGCTATGATATTGTTGCCAATACCATATTATAATACAATGTGAGTAGCTATGATATTGTTGCCAATACCCTATTATAATACAATGTGAGTAGCTATGATATTGTTGCCAATACCCTATTATAATACAATGTGAGTAGCTATGATATCATTGCCTACTGTACTATAGCACTGTGTGTGTGTCAGTAAGTTAGAGTAGGTAATAGGGCTATCCAGTCTTGCTAACCATCTGGAACAGGGCAGGGCCACTTCAACTAACTGATGTGTCAGACCTGGGTTCAAATATTTCAGCATTTGATTGAACCTGAATCACGCCAGATGGGAGTGGTTGCTTGCACTTTTGGGACTACACTGTATTATTCCATTGGTTCCACTGTGCCCAGACAAGCTCGATCAAGCTAAAGTTTTAGAAAGTAAACAAATACTATTTGAACCTGTGTGTGGTGGTGGGTGTATGTATTTTTACTATGGAACCTGGGAACCACTTGTCCTACTTTTAACGGGCTATGCACATGTTGTGGGAGAGGGGGGATGTATGTCTTGGGAGTGTGTGTGTTTACACAGGCAGCCCAATTCTGATCTTTGCTGATCTGATCTTTGCTGATCTGATTGTTCAAAAGACCAATTAGTGGTGGAAAAAATATCATAATTGGGCTGCCTGTGTAACGCACCCTTTGCGTGTGAGTTGAGTTCATTGAGTGTTCTATGTTTTAAAGCTGTATTATGGATGTGGCTGGGTGTTCTGTGTTTTAAAGCTGTATTATTGATGTGGCTGGGTGTTCTGTGTTTTAAAGCTATATTATGGATGTGGTTGGGTGTTCTGTGTTTTAAAGCTGTATTATGGATGTGGCTGGGTGTTCAGTGTTTTAAAGCTATATTATGGATGTGGTTGGGTGTTCTGTGTTTTAAAGCTGTATTATGGGTGTGGTTGGGTGTTCTGTGTTTTAAAGCTGTATTATGGGTGTGGTTGGGTGTTCTGTGTTTTAAAGCTGTATTATGGGTGTGGCTGGGTGTTCAGTGTTTTAAAGCTGTATTATGGATGTGGTTGGGTGTTCTGTGTTTTAAAGCTGTATTATGGATGTGGTTGGGTGTTCTGTGTTTTAAAGCTGTAATATCGGTGTGGCTGGGTGTTCTGTGTTTTAAAGCTGTATTATGGGTGTGGTTGGGTGTTCTGTGTTTTAAAGCTGTATTATGGGTGTGGCTGGGTGTTCTGTGTTTTAAAGCTGTATTATGGGTGTGGCTGGGTGTTCAGTGTTTTAAAGCTGTATTATGGATGTGGCTGGGTGTTCAGTGTTTTAAAGCTGTATTATGGGTGTGGCTGGGTGTTCTGTGTTTTAAAGCTATATTATGGATGTGGTTGGGTGTTCAGTGTTTTAAAGCTGTATTATGGGTGTGGCTGGGTGTTCTGTGTTTTAAAGCTATATTATGGATGTGGTTGGGTGTTCAGTGTTTTAAAGCTGTATTATGGGTGTGGCTGGGTGTTCTGTGTTTTAAAGCTGTATTATGGGTGTGGCTGGGTGTTCTGTGTTTTAAAGCTGTATTATGGGTGTGGCTGGGTGTTCTGTGTTTTAAAGCTGTATTATGGGTGTGGCTGGGTGTTCAGTGTTTTAAAGCTGTATTATGGGTGTGGCTGGGGGTTCTGTGTTTTAAAGCTGTATTATGGATGTGGCTGGGTGTTCTGTGTTTTAAAGCTGTATTATGGGTGTGGCTGGGTGTTCTGTGTTTTAAAGCTATATTATGGGTGTGGTTGGGTGTTCAGTGTTTTAAAGCTGTATTATGGGTGTGGCTGGGTGTTCTGTGTTTTAAAGCTGTATTATGGGTGTGGCTGGGTGTTCAGTGTTTTAAAGCTGTAATATGGGTGTGGCTGGGTGTTCAGTGTTTTAAAGCTGTATTATGGGTGTGGTTGGGTGTTCTGTGTTTTAAAGCTATATTATGGATGTGGTTGGGTGTTCTGTGTTTTAAAGCTGTATTATGGGTGTGGCTGGGTGTTCTGTGTTTTAAAGCTGTATTATGGGTGTGGCTGGGTGTTCTGTGTTTTAAAGCTGTATTATGGGTGTGGCTGGGTGTTCTGTGTTTTAAAGCTGTATTATGGGTGTGGCTGGGTGTTCTGTGTTTTAAAGCTGTATTATGGGTGTGGCTGGGTGTTCTGTGTTTTAAAGCTGTATTATGGGTGTGGCTGGGTGTTCTGTGTTTTAAAGCTGTATTATGGGTGTGGCTGGGTGTTCAGTGTTTTAAAGCTGTAATATGGGTGTGGCTGGGTGTTCTGTGTTTTAAAGCTGTGGTTGGTGTTCTGTGTTTCATACTGTGTTGTGGGTGTGTCACAACACAACGAATAGCCGCCCCGCTCCGACCTGAACAGCTTCCACCCCCAAGCCATAAGACTGCTAAATAGTTAACTGGACTATCTGCATTGACCCTGTTTGCACTAACTCTTTTTGACTCTATGCACACACACTGGACGCCACCCACACACTCACTTACACTGACACTCACAAACACATAACATGTACACACAGGCACACTGTCGCCACACACACATTTCCACACTTCCACACTCATCACATACACTGCTGCTACTGTCTATTATCTATCCTGTTGCCTAGTCACTTCACCCCTACCTACAGTATACTGCTGCTACTGTCTATTATCTATCCTGTTGCCTAGTCACTTCACCCCTACCTACAGTATACTGCTGCTACTGTCTATTATCTATCCTGTTGCCTAGTCACTTTACCCCTACCTATATGTACATATCTACCTCAATTACCTCGTACCCCTGCATATCGACTTGGTACTGGTACCCCATGTATATAACCAAGCTATCGTTGACTTGGTACTGGTACCCCGTGTATATAACATTTACATTTACGTCATTTAGCAGACGCTCTTATCCAGAGCGACTTACAGTTAGTGAGTGCATAAATTTTTTCATACTGGCCCCCCGTGGGAAACGAACCCACAACCCTGGCGTTGCAAGCACCATGCTCTACCAACTGAGCTACACGGGGCCTGTGTAACCAAGCTATCATTGACTAGGTACTGGTACCCCGTGTATATAACCAAGCTATCATTGACTAGGTACTGGTACCCTGTGTATATAACCAAGCTATCATTGACTAGGTACTGGTACCCTGTGTATATAGTCAAGTTATCATTGACTTGTACATTTACATTTACGTCATTTAGCAGACGCTCTTATCCAGAGCGATTTACAAATTGGTGCATTCACCTTATGATAGCCAGTGGGACAACCACTTTACAATATATATATATATATATATATATATATATATATATATATATATATATATATATATATATATATATATATATATATATATATATATATATATATATTTATATATTTTTTTTTTTCTGGTGGGGTAGAAGGATTACTTTTATCCTATCCCAGGTATTCCTTAAAGAGGTGGGGTTTCAAGTGTCTCCGGAAGGTGGTGAGTGACTCAGTTGTCCTGGCGTCGTGAGGGAGCTTGTTCCACCATTGGGGTGCCAGAGCAGCAAACAGTTTTGACTGGGCTGACGGGAACTGTGCTTCCGCAGAGGTAGGTGGGCCAGCAGGCCAGAGGTGGATGAACGCAATGCCCTCGTTTGGGTGTAGGGACTGATCAGAGCCTGAAGGTACGGAGGTGCCGTTCCCCTCACAGCTCCGTAGGCAAGCACCATGGTCTTGTAGCAGATGCAGGCTTCAACTGGAAGCCAGTGGAGTGTGCGGAGGAGCGGGGTGACGTGAGAGAACTTGGGAAGGTTGAACACCAGACGGGCTGCAGCGTTCTGGATGAGTTGTAGGGGTTTAATGGCACAGGCAGGGAGCCCTGCCAACAGCGAGTTGCAGTAATCCAGACGGGCGATGACAAGAGCCTGGATTAGGACCTGTTTTGCTTCCTGTGTAAGGTAGGGTCGTACTCTGCTAATGTTGTAGAGCATGAACCTACAGGAACGGGTCACCGCTTTGATGTTAGCGGAGAACGACAGTGTGTTGTCCAGGGTCACGCCAAGGTTCTTTGCACTCTGGGAGGAGAACACAACGGAGTTGTCAACCGTGATGGTGAGATCATGGAGCGGGCAGTCCTTCCCCGAGAGGAAGAGCAGCTCCGTCTTGCCGAGGTTCAGCTTGAGGTGGTGATCCGTCATCTACACTGATATGTCTGCCAGACATGCAGAGATGCGATTCGCCACCTGGTTATCAGAAGGGGGAAAGGAGAAGATTAATTGTGTGTCGTCTGCGTAGCAATGATAGGAGAGACCATGTGAGGATATGACAGAGCCAAGTGACTTGGTGAGAGAATAGGAGAGGGCCTAGAACTGAGCCCTGGGGGACACCAGTGGTGAGAGCACGTGGTGCGGAGACAGATCCTCGCCACGCCACCTGGTAGGAGCGACCTGTGAGGTAGGATGCAATCCAAGAGTGAGCCGCGCCGGAGATGCCCAACTCGGAGAGGGTGGAGAGGAGGATCTGATGGTTCACAGTATCAAAGGCAGCAGATAGGTCTAGAAGGATGAGAGCAGAGGAGAGAGAGTTAGCTTTAGCAGTGCAGAGAGCCTCCGTGACACAGAGAAGAGCAGTCTCAGTTGAATGACCAGTCTTAAAACCTGACTGGTTTGGATCCAGAAGGTCATTCTGAGAGAGATAGCAAGAGAGTTGGCTAAAGACGGCACGCTCAATAATTTTGGAGAGAAAAGAAAGAAGGGATACTGGTCTGTAGTTGTTGACATCGGAGGGATCGAGTGTAGGTTTTTTGAGAAGGGGTGCAACTCTCGCTATCTTGAAGACGGAAGGTACCCTGTGTATATAGACAAGTTATAATTGACTTGTACTGGTACCCCGTGTATATAGCCAAGTTATAATTGACTAGGTACTGGTACCCCGTGTATATAGCCAAGTTATAATTGACCAGGTACTGGTACCCCGTGTATATAGCCAAGTTATCATTGACTTGTACTGGTACCCCGTGTATATAGCCAAGCTATCATTGACTAGGTACTGGTACCCCGTGTATATAGCCAAGCTATCATTGACTAGGTACTGGTACCCCGTGTATATAGCCAAGTGATCATTGACTTGTACTGGTACCCCGTGTATATAGCCAAGCTATCATTGACTAGGTACTGGTACCCCGTGTATATAGCCAAGCTATCATTGCTCATTGTGGATTCCTCATGTTATTCTTCTTCTTCTTCTATTATTATAATTATAATTATTATTATTTTTGTATTGTTTTTGTATTATTATTATTATTATTTTATTTTATTTTTCTTGTTCTTATTTTATTATTATTATTATTATTATTATTATTATTATTATTATTATTATTATTTTATTTGTTATTGTATTCTGCATTGTTGGGAAGGGGCCGTAGGGAAGCATTTCACCTGTTTATGAAGCATGTGAAAATAACATTTTGATTTGGTTTGTATTCACTATGTTGTGTTGTGGGTGTGTCGTGTGAATTCACTGTGTTGTGGGTGTGTCGTGTGAATTCACTGTGTTGTGGGTGTGTCGTGTGAATTTACCGTGTTGTGGGTGTGTCGTGTGAATTCACTGTGTTGTGGGTGTGTCGTGTGAATTCACTGTGTTGTGGGTGTGTCGTGTGAATTCACTGTGTTGTGTTGTGTTGTGTTGTGGGTGTGTCGTTTGAATTCACTATGTTGTGTTGTGTTGTGGGTGTGTCGTGTGAATTCACTGTGTTGTGTTCCAGGCCTGGACTGTAGGAGGAACCAAGAGTAGTTACCTGTGGTTCAGCTGTCTCACTACTAACGGAGGATATCACTGCATTCCTGCCAGCAATGAAGGTAACTAGTAAATGTAACAGATTACATTTGGAAAGTAACCTATTCAACCCTGGTTATATGTCATGTTAAACCTCCTCTGTCTCCTCCCTCCAGACTGGATCCAGGCGGTTCAGGCCCTCATGGTTCTCTCAGTGTTGTTCTGCCTCTTCTCGCTCGTCTTCTTCATGTGTCAGCTCTTCACCCTGGTCAAAGGAGGACGCTTCTTCTTCACCGCCATCTTCCAGATCCTCGCCAGTGAGTACGACCACTTGTAAGGCTTAATGAAGCCTTCATAACCCCTTTATAAGGCCTACATAGAGGCTTCATAAAGATGTTGGTCTTGTTGGCCAGTGAGTATCATCACATCACATCAAACACAGAGTTTCCCCGATTGTCTAACCTAGCCATGGTCCCCCCAGCGTATACAACGTTGGCTTGTATTGGTATCAACTGACAATGTTGGTGAGAAGATGGCCTGGATATTGCCCTGTGTGGCTTACCGCCCAGCAGGAAAATGATCTCATGGAAAAACGGAATCTGTAAAGGACAGACATGTTGTAGCCCAGGTCAAAGTGGGAGGCAGCCCCATGTGACCACTGTCCCTTACTACGAGAGTTGATTTAACTGTCTCAATGCTAGGTCCCTTACTACGAGGGGTTGGTTAACTGTCTCAATGTTAGGTCCCTTACTACGAGGGTTAGTTTACTGTCTCAATGTTAGGTCCCTTACTACGAGGGTTAGTTTACTGTCATAATCTCTTAGTTGGAACCCAACTAAATATTGTGCTAGATATCATAGCTAGCTAACTCAATTTGCTCATGTGGGCAGAGTTGGCTGGAAGTGGGCCGGTTCTCTGGCTCAGGGGTTAACTTGTGGAAAGTAGCAGATTCAGTCCCTCTCCAATATACAGAACATAACGAAGTCTGTCACTAAAGATTAGGTGTGTCAACTTGGAAGAAATGAATGATCCTCAACTGCTGTCTAAAACTAACCATTACTTTTTTCCTTTCTCCCCCACTCTCTCTCTGTCCCTCCCTGCGCTCCTCTCTCTCTCTCTGTCCCTCCCTGCGCTCCTCTCTCTCTCTCGCTCTCTGTCCCTCCCTGCTCTTCTCTCTCTCTCTCTGTCCCTCCCTGCGCTCCTCTCTCTCTCTCTGTCCCTTCCTGCGCTCCTCTCTCTCTCTCTCTCTCGCTCTCTGTCGCCCCCTGCTCTCCTCTCTCTCTCTCTCTCTCTCTCTCTCTCTCTCTCTCTCTCTCTCTCTCTCTCTCTCTCTCTCTCTCTCTCTGTCTGTCCCTCCCTGCTCTCCTCTCTCTCTCTCTCTGTCCCTCCCTGCTCTCCTCTCTATCTCTGTCCCTCCCTGCGCTCCTCTCTCTCTCTCTCTGTCCCTCCCTGCTCTCCTCTCTCTCTCTGTCCCTCCCTGCTCTCCTCTCTCTCTCCTTTCCATTCCATTCCCTTCCCTCAACCCCTCTTGCACTCTCCTCTCAATCTCTCTCTCCAGGTCTGTTTGTGATGTGTGGAGCTATAATCTACACGGTGATGTGTCCGGATGGGGAGGTGGATGCTGCGTTCGGCTTTGCCTACGTCCTGGCCTGGGTGTCCTTCCCTCTGTGTCTGGTCAGTGGTCTCATCTACATCGTATTGAGGAAGAGGGAATGAGAGAGGGAGGGAGGCTGAGGTTAAGGCCTCACACCATCACCAACAGAACACAGCACTGTGCCCCAGGTTTGGGATCAATTCCATTTGAATTCCAGTCAATTCAGGAAGTACACTGACATTCCAATTCTCTTCAATGCTTCTTAATGAGGTTTACTTTCTGAATTCACTGGAATTTTAATGGAATTGACCCCAACCCTGCTGTGCCCACTGACCACCAGAGGAGGCTGGTGAGGGGAGGATGAACCGCTCTAATAGTGGTTGTTTTCCGTTAAACACTTTGAGCATTTTATTACATTTTGAGTGTTTGCACTTTTGGGATTATTCCATTAGTTTCATTGTGCCAGGCAAGCTCAATCAAGCTCAGCTAAGGCATTTGTAAGAAAATAAATCCTATTTGAACCCAGGTCTACATTATACATACTCATCACAGGAGGTTGGTGGCACTGGCTGGAGTGGAATCAGTGGTAATGGCTGGAGCGGAATCAGTGGAGTGGTATCAAATATACTGAACAGAAATATAAACGCAACATGCAACAATTTCAAAGATTTTACTGAGTTACAGTTCATAGAAGGAAATCAGTCAATTGAAATAAATTCATCAGGCCCTAATCTATGGATTTCACATGACTGGACAGGGGTGCAGCCTTGGGTGGGCCTTGGAGGGCATAGGCCCACCCACTGGGGAGCCAGACCCAGCCAATCAGAATGAGTTTTTCCCCACAAAAGGGCTTTATTACAGACAGAAATACTCCTCAGCACCCCTCCTCCGCCTCCTCAGATGATCCCGCAGGTGAAGAAGCTGGATGTGGAGTTCCTGGGCTGGCGTGGTTACACGTGGTCTGCGGTTGTGAGGTCGGTAGGACATACTGCCAAATTCTCTAAAACTACGTTGGTAGAGAAATGAACATTAAATTATCTGGCAACAGCTCTGTTGGACATTCCTGCAGTCAGCATGCCAATTGCATGCTCCCTCAAAACTTGAGACATCTGTGGCATTGTGTTGTGTGACAAAACTGCACATTTTAGAGTGGCTTTTTATTGTCCCCAGCACAAGGTACACTTGTGTAATGATCGTGCTGTTTAATCAGCTTCTTGATATGCCACACCTGTCAGGTGGATGGATTATCTTGGCAATGGAGAAATGCTCACTAACAGGGATGTAAACAAATTTGTGCACACATTTTTTGAGAAATAAGCTTTTTGTGCGTATGGAACATTTCTGGGATCTTTTATTTCAGCTCATGAAACATGGGACCAACACTTTACATGTTGTGTTTATATTCTGTTCAGTATACATCAAACATATGGTTTCCATGTGTTTGATGCCATTCCATTGGCTCCGTTCCAGCCATTATTATGAGCCGTCCTCTCCTCAGCAGCCTCCACTGATACCCATGTGTGAGGAAACTACAGAGAAGAACACAATCTATGTCACAGTGTAAAGATGTACATAGTGTCTATGGTTTTAGACATATTTATAACATTTTTTACATTACCTTTTGTACATAGTGTTGTTGAGTTGCTTTGACTTTTTCATACTTTCTCCTCCGTGCCAAAGAGATAAAGCTGTGATATCAGCTTTTAGGAAAAAAGCCAAAATGTTTAAATCCTTTTAAATGTTTATTTTGTTTTACTATAGTGTAGTGTCAACTCCTAGCTTGTCATTGTCAATTCCATAAAGAGTTGGCAAGAAAGCAAGAACAGACTGGCCATCAGGCTAGTCAACTCAGACAAAGTGAATTCATAAACAACATCAGTTTTCTTGATGAAGGAAAATGGGTATGTGTTTCAGAACCAACAAATTATTGTGTATATGAACTAATGAGCATGACTTTTTCATATTTGTACTGTACTGTACTGTCCTGAATTGTATTGTATTGTACAGTACTGTATTGTCTGTTAGGATTCTGAAATGAAAATGGTGCTTTGTATCTGCCATTCTTCTACTGTATAGCCTGGTTGGTGGTGTTATTAAATGATTTGAACAATGCTTGAATTGTATAGCCTCCTTGTTTTGTGTTGCCATTAAATGATTTTAACAATGATAGTGACTGGTATCCTGCCCTTTCTGTACAAAAACGAATTTGCAGTTTTTATGTCTATAAAAGGTCTGCTTGCTTGGCATGCAGGCAGGTCATCCGTGATACAAGTCAGTATTCAAAGTCCATCCATGTCTGAGGACATTGGGAGATGATGTGGAAACCGGCCACTAGGGGCAACAGTGAGCGCTGTTACCTTCAAGTAGGCTTTGGTTTTTCTAGGGAATTGGGGACGGACGTAAGCATCTTTTATTCTAAGCCTATCCCAAATCTTAACCCTTACCTTAACCATTCTGAGTCAATGCCTAAACTTAACCTTGGAACGATACAGAGAAGTAACCAAATACTTTGAAATTTGACATTTGGAACAACTTCAAAATTAGGCGTTTGAGACACATGGATGAACGTCTAATTCATGAGGTGAGTCTGTGAGAGCTTGTTGTGGCATGATCATTCATCCTCTGAGAACTGGCCTGATTGACACCGCTGCAGTACTGATATGCACCACAGGGCGGCAGTGTAATGCAGTGGATGACAGCTGTTGTGAGATTCAGCGGTGGCATCAACAACTGCGAAGGGAAGAATCCATTTGGGGAGGATAATTTAAACTCCGTCAACAATATTTTTTACACTGTATGCAGCTCTCTTAACTGCTAGACAAATCTCAGCTCTATCTCTTTCCACTTTGCATATTCATATTTCAACATTACATTTTCCATTTACTTCATACTGTGTAAAAATATTGTTGATTGAGTTTAAATTACTCTCCCCAAATGGGTTCTTCCCTTCTCAGTTGTTAATACCACAACTGAATCCCCGAGCTGACTAGGTGAAAACTGATGTGCCCTTGAGCACGGCACTTAACCCTAATTGCTCCTGTAAGTCGCTCTGGATAAGAGTGTCTGCTAAATGACTTAAATGTGTGTGTGTTACACTCTATATAGCTTCAGATGGATCTATAATGAGGTACATAACACATATCTAGCTGAACCAACCACAGATGGGTCTATAATGAGGTACAGAATACATATCTAGCTGAACCAACCACAGATGGGTCTATAATGAGGTACAGTCAACCACATATCTAGCTTAACCAACCACAGATGGGGCTATAAGAGGCATCACATTCTACTGAAACCCAACCCAGTGGTCATAATGAGGTACAGAAACATACTACTGAACCAACCACAATGGGTCTATAAGGTACAAACACTTCTACGAACCAAAACCCCAGAGGGTCTATAAGAGACGAAAACATATCTGCGAACCAACCCCGATGGGGCTATAAAGGGGGACAGAAAATATTAGCTGAACCAACCACAATGGGCCCATAAAAGGGCGAACACATACTGCTGCCCCAACCCCAATGGTCTATAATGAGGTACAGAACCTATCTACGAACCCAAACCCCAGATGGGTCTATAAAGAGGCGAAAACATTCTACTGAACCAACCCCAGTGATCTATAATGAAAGGACAGAACACTACACTAACCAACCCAGATGGGTCTATAAAGGGTCAAACCCAAATCTACTGAAACCAACCACAAGGGTCTATAAGAGGTACAAAACATATCTAGCTGAACCAACCACAGATGGATCTATATGAGGTACAGAATACATATCTAGCTGAACCAACCACAGATGGATCTATAATGAGGTACATAACACATATCTAGCTAAACCAACCACATATGGATCTATAATGAGGTACAGAATACATATCTAGCTGAACCAACCACAGATGGATCTATAATGAGGTACAGAATACATATCTAGCTGAACCAACCACAGATGGATCTATAATGAGGTACAGAATACATATCTAGCTGAACCACCACAGATGGATCTATAATGAGGTACAGAATACATAATCTATAGCTGAACCAACCACAGATGGATCTATAATGAGGTACAGAATACATATCTAGCTGAACCAACCATAGAACTACTGAATGCTCTGCGTGTCTGTATCTTCACTAGTGGTTCCTGGCACCAAACCTGTAAACAATCATGCTCAATTGAACTTCAGATACCCACTTGGCTGTGGCCTGTACAGACGCCTTTATCAAACAGCTGGACACTTGGCAAGATACACACAAACACTTAATGTTTAACAGATATGAAGGGGTTGTTGTTATTATTTGTGGAAGATGGTAAAAACTAAGGTTTTGAATAGCATGGTCGTACAATAACATCAAATTACAACAGTAAGTGAAACAAGCAGTAGAATTCAGAGGACGATACGATAGGAGGAGAGGAGAGACGAAGAGATACGGAGAACCGTTGGGTGTCGAAGGATAGAGAGCAGAGAGAGAGAGCAATCGAGAGTAGAGAGAGAGAAGAGAGAGAGAGAGAGAGAGATGGCCGTAACGGGGAGATGGAGAGAGAAGACGATAGAGATGAGAGAGGAAGATGGGGGGGGGTGGGCAGGGTGGGGTAAAAGACGAGTGAGAGAGAGGCCAGGAGACTGGGCAAGAGGAGAGGATGAGAGATCGAGAGTTAGGGAGAGAGAGAGGAGAGAGAGGAGAGAGAGTGAGGAGAGAGAAGGAGAGAGTCGATATAGAGAGAGAGAGAGAGAGCGAGAAGAGGAGAGATAGATGAGAGAAAGAGAGCGAGAGTAGAGAGAGAGAGAGAGAGTACGAGTAGAGATGAGAGAGAGAGAGAGGAGAGAGGAGAGTGCGAGATGAGAGAGTAGAGAGGACAAGACAGAGAGGAGAGAGAGAGTAGACAGAGAGAGAGAGAGAGAGAGAGTGCCGGTTTCATAATGTACAAATTGTGTGTCTAGGGGGGTTGTTGCTGATGAGTGTGTGTCGTCATTACCGCTGGTAAGGTGGTTTTCATCTGCAACTGATCCTGTGTTTACCTCAGGACCGATGATGTCACCCAGTGGCCACCCGTCATTCAGGGCAGGTGGGGCATGTTATTTTGGCATTAATACGTTTCACATATCAGTTTGCAAA